ACGAAGGTCTCCTCTTTCGGTGATATTCAGACGACTTCCCTGTTTGCTCATAATATGATTTCTCATCTGTGCGTCAGCTCCCCTTCTCTCCCTCCTCAATTCCCCTCCCCACCTTTTTTTTCCCTTTTTTATATTTTTTTACCTTCCTTACAACCATGACAGTAGGAAGGCTGAGCTAGGTAGCCCACTTACTATTACTTACTAAAGCCCACTATAACAGACAGGCACACATACATACATAAAGACACACATACATACCTATAGGCACACATACACACACAAGACACACATACATACAAACAGCCACACATACATACAGACACACACACACACACACACACACACAGAGACATGCACACGTACATACAGACACATACATACACACACATACAAAGACACACACAGAAGACATACATACAAAGACACATACACACATACATACAGACAGACACATGACACACATACATACAAAGACACATACATAAGACACACATACATACAAAGACACATACACACACAACACATACATACAAAGACAAGACACACATACATACATACATACAAAGTTCCCACTCTGACTCCCTCTGCTTCCTCCCGCGCGGTCTGTGTGTTAGCTGGGAGGAGTGACGTGCAGTCACTTTCTCCCAGCTCCGTGTGATGTAATCACAGGGGGGCCAGTCGCGCTGTTAAAGCGCCCAGCGCTGACCGGGCCCCCTTACAATCCATAACCACAACATGGGCCACCCGATGAACTTCTTGGACGGCGGCCACGGCGGTTTGCCACTCGGGCCGGGCCCGCAAATGGTGATGGCTGGTACCTGGTCACAGGGGTAGCGCTGGCTCGCACCCGCCCACCCAATCTCTCAAAATGAGGAAATCCCTACCGCCCACCTGGAATCCTGAAACGCCCACTAGTGGGCGGTAGGGACCAGGTTGACGACCCATGGTTTAGACACATGCATTCGTTTTCGTACGAAGACGATTGGTCCGAAAAATCAGGTTTTTTCATATTTGTTTACTAAAACGTAAACGAAAGCCCTACAAACTAAATATAAACGAAATGAAAGGGCAAATGCCGAATGCATTACCGTTTTGTTTGTTTAATAGACTCCGTGCTGCAGGGGAATTACCCTCAAAGCATGGAGAAATAACAGTGTGCATGTGCGACAAATATAAATAAATAATGGGGGGGGGACCTAATTTCTCCCCCAGGTCCGCACTTATGAGCGTCGGGTGGGGACCCTAAATAAATAATGGGGGGGACCTAATGTCCCCCCCTGGTCCCCACCCATGAGCAGCAGGTGGGCACCCTAATTAATTAAAGGGGGGACCTAATTTCCCCCCTGGTCCCCACCCATGAGCGGCAGATGGGGACCCTAAATAAATAATGGTGGGGGACCTTTATTTACTCACGAGCGGCAGATGGGGACCCCAAATAATAAAGTCATAAAACTAATTTTATTTCCCCAAGCCCCTAGTGACTCCTCCCCGCTCAATAAAAATACCCTACCTACCCCACTCACTCTAATAATAGCAAGGGGGGAGCAATATACTAACCCTGTAAAATTACATTTCATACTTACTGTGACAAACTGCCCTTTGTCACTGTGTTTTTATGTGACCAACTGCCCTTTACCCCTGGCTTTTGGAGGAGCCTGATTGCCAGCCTCACGACTATGGCCCTGGTGTGTATGGCCCTTTAAAAACTATATGTGGGCATATTGGGACTATTAAAAGACTGTTTCTGCCCCTTTGATTCCATGGGAGAATATGCCTCTCCCCCTTTAATACCTATCCCATTGTTCTCCAGCAGGGCGTTGTCCCACCAATCTCTCATCAGCCCTTGCAAAACTTTAACTCCATGGCAAATTTACTCTGTTCGTGGGATCTGAGCGCTTTTCACCTATATTGGGCGCTCAGATCCGAGCTATCTGGGGATAGGTTAAATGTGTAATATAATAGGAATTATGTATTTTTATGTATTTTACTGTTAGTGTAAAATGGAGATATTTTCTGTACCTGGAGATAATTGAGTTTACTGCAGTTCCTTAAGCCAATTATCTCCAGGATAAAGGGGAGGGATTTTGTGTGTATGTGGGAGTGTTATTTTGTTAATTAATGTTCCCATTGGTTTGTGTCCCTTTTGTCACAGTTTACCACCAGGTCCAGGGAGTGTACCTCTGGCCTGAAAACTGTGCATAAAAGAAATCCGTTTGGTGCTGATTAAACGGATCATATTGTATGTTCATGAAGTTTCGGCTCATGTTTGGGGGATTGGAGAACTACACTCTGGGGATTGCTATAATCATTTTACTCCCCAGGGTATAATCACTAAGCTCTGCTAAGAGCTTGTTCCTGTTCCTGCTCTCTGGAATTTGGATGGGTGGAGACGGCGAGACCTCAACCTAGCTGCGGCGGTTCGTGGGAGTCTACATTGGTTATGGTGTCTGGAGGAGTGCTTGGAGTCTTCAGGAAGGACTAGGAGCATCAATCAACGGAAGGTGTCCGGTCGGGGTGCAAGCGATTCCGTTATAGTGGTGGCAGCGGTGGGATGGCGTCCTAGTGCGAGGAGAAGCAGCTCGGAGACACCGGTAATGATTGGAATTACAAATTAAGGGCAACGCTAGTATTTGTACAGTGCCCCTGTTCACAGCAGCATGGAGCAAGCGAGCCTTTATGCAGCAACCTTATACGAGCAGGAGTTTCGCTGGAGATTGCATACGTGGTCCAACATGATGTTCCTGTAACCGAGGAGGACATGCTGGACTGGAGAGATGCCGTTCAAAAGGGGATGTGGTACGAGGCTCTGGAGGACATGCAGCGTCGGTGTGGTACGAATCTCCCCAGTGAGGAGCAGCGGCTACAGAAGTGTGTGGCAATGCAAATGTGTCTATTGGGAGAGCACCCTCAGGAGGAGTGGGTGAAGGAGCTCGAGCACCAGGTATGGTAGAAGCTTTGGCTAGACGATGCCTACCAGGCCCTATGGTGGTATACGGCTCAGCAGACCCCCTGGTTGGCGGGGCACGACTGGCTCGAAGGGGATGATTTCTATGGCCCTGGTCACCTCTGGGATGCCCAGGATGAAGACCTGGGTTTCGATAGCAAGGAGGAGTCGAGATTCTGGGACATCTATAACTACAGGGTGGGCATGCATATTTGGGCTGATGCCCGCGAGGTGAGATTGGACATGACTCACCTGGTAACCATGGAGTGGGAGCTGGAGCAGACTGACCACCAGATCTACCCCCTTCAGCTGGGAAGATCCCCAGTGGCAAACAACATCCCAGGGAGAGGAGATTGTCGGTCCCTCGTCCTTGCAGCAACGATCATCACTGGGAGTCGAGACAATCGGTCTCTCTCCCCAGCGGCAGCCAGCATCCCAGGGAGAGGAGATTGTCGATCCCTCGTCCCTGCAGCAACCATCATCACCGGGAGTCGAGACAGCAAAAGCTAAACAGCAAAAAATAAATGTCCACCATCTGCTCACCAACTCATGGGGAGTAAAGTGCAATATAGCAGTAATCGCCGTCTTCCTCCCTCTGGTTGCAACAATCCTTGCCTGTGTGCAAACTGCATCCACTTCCTTGTTCCTGGTCCCGTGGTCATGTGAAGCGTTTCGCCCCTCCTCCTGGGGCTTTCTCAAACGAGCAATATCTCTTCCCACTAGAGAATTTCTTTTATATGCAGGTTTTTTTTAACTGTGATCCAATCGGCATGTCTCATTTAAATAGATATTGTTCCTAAGAAACTTTTGTGTATTTAAGATGTCTATGCATAACCATCTAAAATCAACATACTTCATAGAGGTACACATATATGCATAAAAGGGCAAATGTATAATCATATATAAACGCTAAATTATATATATTATTACTATTATTAATTCTATATAGGAGTTTCATATTGGATGCTATGCATAGAATATCCACCTATTTTCTCTTAATAGGAATTAGCACATAATTGTAGTGCATGAAGAGATGTCCAGGCTGCTTTCCTTTTAAATCCACCGCTTGTGGGGCTGCCGATCATGTGGGCGGAGGTTCGGCTGTTCGGCATCTGACATCACTTCCGGTGTTCCGGCGCCAAATCAACCTGTCCTTCATAATGAAATCACTTTGCCCATTTTAGGTCATATCCTCCATATTGTTTGTGGGCAGTTTTAGTTTGTTTATGGGCATGTAATGTGTGTATAAATATATATAAACGAACAGTAAAATAATCAAACAGTAGAAAATAAGACAGTGAAAAATCAGTAGAAAATCATTGTAAATATTCCATCCTGGTATACATATAAAGCGCTACGGAATCTGTTGGCGCTATATAAATGGCAATAATAATAATAATAATAATAAAAACATGATACTATCAGTAATAATAGAATGGCAGTTAAAGTTCATTATTTCTACTCTAAATATAAACCTATGGAAGACATAAACAATAATGAGTAAAAATACAAATAGGGAACCTTATAGGCATATATATACAAATGTATAAAACACATATTTAAGACTGGGTGAGCATGGAGGACATAATTCTAAAAAAAGAGGATATATATATGAAAAAGTCCAATATATATAGAGAGAATTTAGAGTATATATGAAAAAATCACTAAGATTATATATATATATAAATAAAGAATAAAAAGGATAAAAAAGAATTATGCAAGGTAAAAAAATTATAAAAAATGGACCAACTCAAAATCTAAATTAAGACCATTAGGGGATAGAGTGTCCAACTCAAATATCCACCTACTTTCCAATTTTTTTCAAATTTCTACATTTTCCAAATATAAAAGGAATCGACCCAGAAACTATAAGAATGGAAATTCTGGAGAACAAGCAAATAATAATTACAGAAAGGACTATAATAAAGACAATCAAAGGGCTAATCAAAAACTCAATTTTAAAGAGAAAGATAACAGACCAGCTCTCATGTATTCTCCTAAAATTAGTGGTCCGAAAAAAATACAGAACTCAAAACGGGAACACCAACACACTCCCAATTATGTATACAATAAAAATGATACACACAAATTCAGCAAAGTGAACAACAAGCTCTAACGCTTAAGTGAAGGAATCCCTTAACCTCCACAACGTAAAACATGCAAAACAAACAAAGTATAAGCGGAGCTCTGTATTACCTGTATAAACAATGGTATATTGAAGATGAATATAATATTATTCAAAATAAGAATCTGTAAATAAATGATCACAGATCTAAGTGCAGACAATAGTCACATAATAATTAACATAAAAAAAATATAAAAACTTTTAGGTGGGTAACTCACAAAGGTGGAGCCAATAATACACCTGGCTCTAGTGGTAAGCGCCTATGGATCTTCTAGGGGAGATCCACTACCCTCTTTCTGTTCCTCCTGATGTCCTCCTCCTTCAATTTTGGTAGGAATGGAAATGCAGACTCCACAGGACGGTATAATGGAAAATTTATTGGTAAAATAGTAAATTAAAACATCTAAAAACAAAATTGGATCAAAGTATTTTCAATGAGTCCAAAATGTCCCCAAATGCGTTTCGCCAGTTAAACTGGCTTCCTCAGTTGGCATATTCCTCCTGTGACCTCTTTGTACTTTTATATAGTTCTTAAATGATGAAATTACCGGCATCTGCCGGACCGGAAGTTGGCTTTGTGGAACGCACGCCGTCCTGGTTGGAACGCACGTACGTGCGTGCGTCGATCACATGATTGGGCCGTTTCGCTTCCTTCTTCCTCGTTGGAACGCACATGCGTTCCACAGTCTCAAATGATACAAACTAGCCGTTTTGCTTCTACGTCTTTTTCGTGGAACGCACCATCTGCGTTCCATAATCTTTTCTATCATAACAAGAATCCTCAATACTTCAGTCCATACAATCCCAAGAGAAATCAATAGTGATAAATTAATAAAAAAAAGGATAAACTATATATTATATCATAACTGTACATTATAGCATAAAAAAAATTAAAACATTCCAGTTAGTGTGAAAATAAGTAACCACCATTGCTTCTATATGTGCATAGTGATGATGGTGTGCTCTTAAAATACTTATATAAAAAACTGGAAGGGTGAGAGGAACATGTATAGAAATTGAGGTTAACTAATAACTATGATAATTAACTCTTACTATTATAAAAAGTGGCATAATTCAAAGTCTAAGTTTAATCCATAAGGGACCATGGTATTAAAATTGAAAATAAAAGACATTTCTTCCATCCCAATTCTCTTTATAAAATCTCCACCCCTCCAATTTTTTTTGACCAATTTGAGTGCACAAAAGGCAAGACCTTGTGGATTTTGGTGATGGTACTGTTTAAAGTGTTGGGAAACACTATGTGTATCTACTCCTTTTTTAATATTCCTCACATGTTCTGAAATTCTAATATGGAGACATCTGATAGTTCTCCCTATATACATTTTATTACATGGACAGATTAATAAATAAATGATATTTTTGGAGAAACATATATTCATAGCAATTTGAAAGAAAAATCAAAATTTTTCCCAAGAAACATGATTTCAAGTGAAATTAAAACCTTTGAAACTATGATTATGAAAGAGGTTAAGAAAATCAAACATACGAACAAGTATCAAAAAAATCTTACACTAGCAGAGACCAAAACATTAAAGAAGTTACAAAAAGATGATAATTTAATTATAAAACCTGCAGATAAGGGGGGAGGAGTAGTTGTTCTGTCCAAAGAAAAATATGTAGGGGAAGCAGAGAGGTTACTGTCAGATGTCAAAACATATAAGAAATTAACATGTAATCCGAGTCAAGAGATCATAACGAAGTTTAAAGAATATGTTAATAAAGGATTAGATAACGACATTTTAACAGAAGCAGAAGCCAAATACCTGACTATTCCTAATCCTCAGATTCCAGTATTTTATTGTTTACCAAAGATGCATAAAAATTTAATTAACCCACCAGGTAGACCTATAATCTCTGGGGTAGAAAGTATCTCATCGAGAGTTTCAGAGTATATAGATGTTCTTCTTCAACCGGTAGTAACTAAGAATCCAACGTACCTTAAAGACACAATACATGTTTTACAAATTTTAGAAGAGATTAAATGGGAAGAGAATTATATATTGGTTACATGTGATGTAAGCTCGCTCTACAGCATAATCCCACATACAAAGGGAATAGAGGCAGTACAACATTTTTTAGATAAATCGAATTTTAAACAAAATCAAATAGATTTTATTAAAGAGGGTATACTTTTAATTTTGACCAATAATTTTTTTTGGTTCAAAGAGAGTTTTTATCTACAAATCAATGGAATGGCGATGGGGACCAAGTTCGCACCCAGTTACGCAAATCTTTTTATGGCGTACTGGGAAGAAATGTTTATTTTACATAGTGAATTTTTTGCGGACTTGGTCACCTATCGCCGATACATTGATGATATATTTTTTATTTGGAAGGGAGATGATCTTAAATTGACTAATTTTTTAAGTTTTTTAAATTGTAACGATTGGGGTATTTGTCTTACCTCTGTACAAAGTAAAGTGACAATTAATTTTCTAGATCTTACTATTTTTATAGAAGAAGGGAACATTTTTACCAAAAAATTTTTTAAAGAGGTAGACTGCAATGGTTATATTGATCTCACTAGTTGCCATCATACTCCGTGGCTCACGAATGCACCCAAGAGCCAGTTCATGAGACTAAAAAGAAATTGCACAAAAGATGATGATTTTTTACAACAAACACAAGTTATTAAAAATCAATTCTTGGAAAAGGGATATAAAGAAGAGGACCTTCAAAAGGGTATAGAAGAAATAAAAAGATTAGAACGAAAGGAATTGCTAATATATAAAAAGAAAAAAGCGAAAATAGAGAATAATAAATGTAACATCCCCTTTATTTGTAATTTCTCGGCCAATAATAAGAAGGTGCGGTATGCCATTAATAAATATTGGCACTTATTACAAGACGATCCTATTCTAAAAGAAATACTACCGGAGAGACCTAAAATTGTCCATAGGGGATGCAGAAATATAAAAAAATTTTTAGTAAATAGCAATCTAAAAAATCATCAAGTTGAAAATGAAAATTTCTTAACAAAGAATAAAGGATTTCATGGGTGTGGAACATGTTTGGCATGTAGGGAGACTAAAAGTATAAAAAGACATATAAAAAATACAAAAGAAATTACCAATAAAGAGTTTATAATAAAAGACCAGCTGACATGTTTCTCCAAAAATATAATTTATTTATTAATCTGTCCATGTAATAAAATGTATATAGGGAGAACCATCAGATGTCTCCATATTAGAATTTCAGAACATGTGAGGAATATTAAAAAAGGAGTAGATACACATAGTGTTTCCCAACACTTTAAACAGTACCATCACCAAAATCCACAAGGTCTCGCCTTTTGTGCACTCAAATTGGTCAAAAAAAATTGGAGGGGTGGAGATTTTATAAAGAGAATTGGGATGGAAGAAATGTCTTTTATTTTCAATTTTAATACCATGGTCCCTTATGGATTAAACTTAGACTTTGAATTATGCCACCTTTATAATAGTAAGAGTTAATTATTATTAATTACTTATGGATTAAACTTAGACTTTGAATTATGCCACTTTTTATAATAGTAAGAGTTAATTATCATAGTTATTAGTTAACCTCAATTTCTATACATGTTCCTCTCACCCTTCCAGTTTTTTATATAAGTATTTTAAGAGCACACCATCATCACTATGCACATATAGAAGCAATGGTGGTTACTTATTTTCACACTAACTGGAATGTTTTAATTTTTTTTTATGCTATAATGTACAGTTATGATATAATATATAGTTTATCCTTTTTTTTTATTAATTTATCACTATTGATTTCTCTTGGGATTGTATGGACTGAAGTATTGAGGATTCTTGTTATGATAGAAAAGATTATGGAACGCAGATGGTGCGTTCCACGAAAAAGACGTAGAAGCAAAACGGCTAGTTTGTATCATTTGAGACTGTGGAACGCATGTGCGTTCCAACGAGGAAGAAGGAAGCGAAACGGCCCAATCATGTGATCGACGCACGCACGTACGTGCGTTCCAACCAGGACGGCGTGCGTTCCACAAAGCCAACTTCCGGTCCGGCAGATGCCGGTAATTTCATCATTTAAGAACTATATAAAAGTACAAAGAGGTCACAGGAGGAATATGCCAACTGAGGAAGCCAGTTTAACTGGCGAAACGCATTTGGGGACATTTTGGACTCATTGAAAATACTTTGATCCAATTTTGTTTTTAGATGTTTTAATTTACTATTTTACCAATAAATTTTCCATTATACCGTCCTGTGGAGTCTGCATTTCCATTCCTACCAAAATTGAAGGAGGAGGACATCAGGAGGAACAGAAAGAGGGTAGTGGATCTCCCCTAGAAGATCCATAGGCGCTTACCACTAGAGCCAGGTGTATTATTGGCTCCACCTTTGTGAGTTACCCACCTAAAAGTTTTTATATTTTTTTTATGTTAATTATTATGTGACTATTGTCTGCACTTAGATCTGTGATCATTTATTTACAGATTCTTATTTTGAATAATATTATATTCATCTTCAATATACCATTGTTTATACAGGTAATACAGAGCTCCGCTTATACTTTGTTTGTTTTACACTCCCAATTATGGGAGTAGATATAGACTGCTATCAGACAATACAACAGGGGATAATCCTAGAAATAATAAAAATTTCTTTCCCTCTTTTTTAGCACAGGATCCACCCCATCGCCCCCAGAGGTCCAGAAGACCTTGGGACCAGGAAGAAGGGAATGTAGAGCAGGAAGAATTTTGGACCGTTAAAAAAAAAGGGGGCAAAAAAACCATCATTATGAATTTTCAATCTTTCGTATAAAAGTTTAACAAATAAAGAATTGGAAGTTCTAAATAAAGGCCTAAAGTTTGCCCCTACTAGTACTAATAAACATTTATAGAAATTAATTAGAAAACTCTGTCTCAAAAAACATTTTCAGAAATTCCCAATTAATGAGGCGAGAGATACAAATGAAGATAATTTTATACATACAAACTTCAAAGACAAATCCCATTTTTTTCCTAAAAATTATTTTAGTGGAGAAATGAGAGTATTTGAGAAATTGGTCACAAGAGATGTAAGAAAAATGTCCACAAAGAAAATAATCTTAATTTTTCACAAATTAAAGCTCTTCAGGAACTACATCTGGACCAGAATATTATAATCAAACCAGCAGACAAGGGTGGGGGCATCGT